GATAAGTTTAAACGTTAGTTTTAATGGTTAAGTGTTTAAACTACTTAAACATCAAACCTTCGCTAGAGTTCGTTTGTACAAATGAAACTTAGTGCGGGGACGCAGAAGACTATGAGTAAGTTGCATAAATACATTGTACATCTAGCAATGTACATTTATTATGTACTGTTTAATGTCACAGGGAGATATATTAATTAACAGATCGATAAATATAAGAATTCAGTTTCTATTTGTTTTATGAAAGAATTAATTAATTGGTTTGCGGCCGATTTTTGACACTTGCGTCAATATATTTCTTGTTTGAAACTGTAAGATATTTAGTAACAACACAAACTGAAATTAAAATTTTCTATCGGGATCGGAATCCCACAACGGATCGTGTAGTGACAATTGGTGTTAAGACTTTGAGACACGTATTAACACTTGTTACGGTAAATGATAAATAACACTTTTGATAATTTTATCTACATTGTTCATTTGTGGGTTGGGAATCACATATTTTGATTGAGACTCTATCGCAGTCTTGTACTTTGTGTTGATTTTTTTTAGCATTTATGAACTATCATAATAGAATTTTTCTGCGCATTAAATACTGTTAATGGTAGTAGCATATAAATAGCCGATCATTCTTCGATTTAGTTATACAACTATAAGAATGCTAACAGCAGGCGACACATGCGTTTATTGGAACGTACAGTCTTGTTTTTGTAATTGTTAATGTTTTCAGTAAAAAGTTCTTACAGGTCTTCTACGGATATTAAAATTATAACAATGTATGATGTAATTCAATTATAAAACTTACGGAATGCGTTTATTCCACACACATGACAAGAAAGGACACATAAAAATATCAAGGAACTCTTCATGTTGCTCGCCAAACTCGGCCGATCTGTAAAAAATAAGGGGGCTGCTTATTTTAAAAAGGTACGAACCAGGAAGATTTAAATACTCGTAATCTTTTTTTTAACACCAAGTCAAAAAGTATAATCAAATTGTTCGCTCTTATCGAAATTGTATAAATCTGTCACCAACTGTATGTACATGTATACTGATGCGTATATTATGGAAATCAAGTTATTTGCTTTATTGCAGGACACGAAATAAAACTGTAGGGTACAAAAATATAATAAGTGAAATTTTAGAAAGGTTAGGTACATGTTTCATCTAATAAAGTAATGGAAATAGAAACCAAATAAACTCTTCAATTGGAATAGACAATTTCGTTTAATTTGAATATGTGAAGAAGAAAAAAACAACTCGCGTGTACTTTTTGGAAATTTAAGTTTATTTATCCTTATGCAGGGTCGCAAGCTGTCCAGAATACCCCTTTATAATTTAATTTTGGTTGTAACGCGTCATTTGACAAGATTTTTTTTCTTAATTGTATAATCTGGGTTGCCTACATCACAATGTGAAAAAACATATCAATCTGCATGACATTATGTTTAAAATATGATCAACATGAGGACGTTTAAGTTTAAATTGTTTTGTCTTCCATACTTAATGATTGAAAAATTAATAATAAAGAAGGAATATAATAAAAATACAATTATAATAAATAATAATACAATACACATGTACAATCAATCAAAACTAATGCATACCTGTTTACCCATATCATTGTCTCTCAGTATTTTTGATTTGGCAACCCGACACCACTTTTATGTTTTAAATCTTTCTCTTTTTAGCGATAGTCATTATTGATTGATTGAAAATTGTTTAACACCGAGTCTGCAGTTTTACTTGCAGAATGAAAATACAAGTTACAAAGTATACAAACCTGTTAGGTAAATTACCCGCTTATTCAAAGTATGTAAACTTTAAGTGAACCCCATCTCTCATAATGCTGGTACTCAATCGCATCATCTCAGGTTTTTCCGTCAGAGGTCGGAAAAACAATCTTGAATATATTAACATCACCGGATGTCCCTCTCAAGCAGATTTCATTCTTATAGAGACGCCACCACTTGCAGGTGAGGATCTCTAAATTTTGTCCTATACTAGGCACTCGGGGCCATTAAGCAGGAAGGGCTTTTATTCGTGCCAGCACTGTGACATAGCTTATACATAAAACTCAAAATTGACCTAGCAATGCAGAATTACGTTTTAACTTGTAGTTTTTATTTATTTGTTTTGTTTTTTGTTTGTCAACTTTTTCAAGTAAGTAAATATAAAAAATTTCCGACTCCCCCACCCCGCACTTTCAAAAACAATGCAATGTGGCTGAGATGTAAGACAAAAACTCTATTTCCATGACTTATTACATGTATTAGGCAAGAACTACCGTACATGTATGTACATGTACCGCCCTAAAAATTATTTTGACAAATGTGGTAAAACACTTCATAAAATTACAGCTCTTAACACACGTTTAATTAATTAGATAAATTGAAATTATATATCAATTGTTCGCTTTAAAATCGCTTTATAAAATATATATCATATTACGTTTTAGAATCAAAATGCCAGGAAAGGGCCCAAAGTCTTATCCATGCTGTCTTTGTAAGCGCCGCACAGTATCTTCTGAAAGAATTGGTATCAAAAAAGATTATGTGAGGGTTTTGGCAAGGCGTTTTTTGGTATCAGTAGAAGCTGGTGATGTTCTGTGTTCCAAATGTAGATTAAAATGTTACAAAGAAGAAAATAAGATGAAGTCATCTTTGAAACCTACTACAGTAGAGCAAACACATGATGAATATGAACCTCCAACAAAACAAACAAAAATCAGAAATCAGCCCCCTTCCAGTCCCCCATCTGTCTCTTTAGATCTACCAACGACTAGTAAAAGTCATGCCTACTGCTTTATTTGTAAACGGCCTGGGCCAAAGATAATTGTTGTTTCACCACATCTACGATTGGATGCCTTCATCCGTAAGGGCATTGTCGTTCCAGCAGGAGTTAGACGCTGTCCTGTACACACTGATGTCGACCATTTTACACAAGATGCCTGAGAGAAAATAACCCATTAAATGAAGAAGTCGCTTTAAACAGGACAAGCATCAAAGATTTGTTAGAAAATTCTAGGAACTTTGTAATAGACAGAACGAAACATCGACATGATTTTGACCACAGACAGGCATTATCGGATGAGGATTACGTAACACTCACAGGCTTGTCAAAATCAGAGTTTGATGAAATAATGTCATATATAGATGACCATGACCTGCGAGAAACAGCAACAAGGAGTATCAGAACCTGCGTAGCCATACTTTTGGTTAAACTTCGATGTGGACTGAGCAACAAATTCATCGCAACTCTTTTTACAATGAAAAAGCACCAGGTATTATATTTGTTCTGCCAAAATAGTCTTTCAGATCTTTTTCAAAGCTTCATTCAGAAAAAAAAATCTTTCATTGATATACACAATTCCCCTTGTACTTGATGTGAGGCGTCAAACACATATAATAGTAATAGGCTACAATGAAACAAAAACAAAATTAAGTAAAAACAGGTACAGCTTTCCATAGACAAGTTTCTTAAAACTGTTATTTTTACAACGCAAAAGAAACACAAATAAGTAAATCCTCTTAAACATCAATTAATAGCTGTATTCTAAACAGCTGTATCAAATATTATTTTGATAATATATTTTTCAGACACTTATATAGTACTATCGAATATAGACGTTGACATGAATAGCACCCCATACTTTAAGTACATTTTTATGCAGAATTTCAGAAATTAACATGTATTCAGATATATCATTACATTATCACAAGAATATTCAAACTGTAAAAACTTTAAACTACTTACACGGTTGATTTCATTTAGAATGGACATGTTGGAAATCTTACCACAAAATCTGACAGTATGGCGGGATTGACATAGATAGTTAACTCATACTTAAACTCATTCAATAAACTGTTCACATTGGACTCATGAAAATATTACAAAATGGATTTATCTCAAGTCTTAAAATTCAATTGAAGCTATGTTTTCTTAATTATTTAAATGTTATTTATTGTTAATATTTCTAATACATGTATTAGATGAGGAGCGCCATTAAATCGGCCACCAAAGCCCTGAAGGCAAGATTCGTTCCTGAATTCTTAGGATTCCAACACATAAGTAGGGAAGATGTGACTGAGCACCATACTAGAACCCTCGCCAGAGAACTATTCTCAGAAACATTGACACAGAATCATTCCATTCTGGTTCTTGACGGTACCTACATACATGTTTAAAAAAGCACGAACTTTTCCTTCTCCCGACGGTCATATAGCCTTCATAAGCACAGACCACTGGTAAAGCTGATGTTTGTCGTGACGACCACCGGGTACGTTGTCTCGGTGCTTGGGCCGTATCTGGCAGATTCTAAAAACAGTGATGCCAACATCTTAAACCACATCATCAAGACCAACACAGGGAGAATGAAAGAGTGGACACAGGAGGGGAATATCTTCGTGGTTGATCGGGGTTTCCGATACTCTGGAGATATGCTTCATGACCTTGGAATCAATATGGAGATGCCAACTTTCCTGCCACGAGGATGCGAATTATTCTAGACTGGTTACAAAGGTAAAGAGAGAGGTTGTAGTAATTGTATTATTAATACATGTATATGAACATTAAGTGCTTTTCGTGTTTTAAAAATCTTTTATTAAAAATATGTATGACATATGACTTTATATATACGTGTCATATTTTTTTCCTTTAACCCAAAAATACATTATTTACAGATCAGGTGGGTGGTGGAATCCGCCAACAGCAGAATTAAATCATGGCGGCTGCTTGATAAAACCCTTCCAAACACACAGATTCCAAGTATTGGGGATTATGCACAGATCATTTGCGCCATATGCAATAAGTTCAGGCCTCCTCTAAGCAATGGAACATATGAAAAAGATATCGAAATAGCTGCTAAAATGCAACTCTTGGCAAGGTCGTCCAATGAACTTCAAACGTTCGTTCATGACACTGGTAATTATTTTCAACTAGTATTAGAATATCTATAATTTATAAAAACAAGTTATATAAAATCCATGTAATTTATTATCTTTATAGGATTAGATCGAAGATCGTACAGATGGATCCCCATCGATGCCACGGAAGCATGTCAATCATTCCCTAAATTGACTGAGGATGAAATTAGGGAGTTAACACTTGGTGTTTACCAAGTCAAACTAGCCCGCTCCTACACTCAGGAACATTGCAGCTCTGATGGCACGTACGAAATTTTGGTAAGTGGTGAAGTGCCAAACATAGTCTCAGCAAAAATACAGAGTCGACATATTTCAGCCAAACACTACAAGTTATGGATTAAGCATGACGAGATTCTTGTAACTGGATGGTCCTGCACATGCAAAAATGGAAGTCGAGTGGTTGGAATGTGTGCACATATAACAAGTGTTCTTTGGTATTTGTCATACCAGCGACATGAGGCAGGGCCGCTCAAAACTATTCCAAACTGGGCGGATTCCATTGAGGATGCAGCAAGAGATCCGGTGATAGATGAGTCCGACAGTGATGATCCGGAAGAATGATTGACTGGTCGATGCACACTAGTTCCTAGTCGTGTACGTTTTGTTGCTGTAAAGACGCTCTTGTTCATTATAATAAATGTAGTATTTTTGAAATCATAAAAACATTTCAACTTTATATTATGCCTTTTTATGTCATAATTCATGCGGTTTGCGTGTATTTTCAATATTGTTTTCATTTTCATTATAAAAGCGTTTTCTTTTCCATAGAACTGTTTCAAATGACAATTAAAAATGTACATTAAACAAACAAATGGAAAACATCAAATAGTATCATTTATCACATCGTGTACTTAGGTATCTTCAATATATTTTATGTTGTCTATTTCATAAAGATCGTTTGAAATATATAGAAAATGTAATGGACTTCATATTAAGTAACCAAAACATGTGACTGTTTAAATGATTTGCATTGAAAGATGATATAGCACACTTATTAAACTTTTTTTAAATACTCGGCTTACTTAAAAGTTTATTTAAAAGAAAGCTATAAATGTTAAGCAATGTGGCTCTGCGAATAAATGAAAAAAAAAATGGGCCCATCTCTTAAATAATTTTGTACGCACTTTTTCGACTCAGGGTATACTTATTGGGTCGGTAAGGTAGGTGGGAAGGTCTTTTCCAGAAAATTCCACATACAACATGTATATTTGTTGACGGGATATGATGAATAAAAAATATATTTATCTGTCCTGGAGTTATGAGTCGGACAATTTTTAGTCAGTCGGTCGGGAAAGGGGAACCACGCAATTTTTTAATTGGTCTAATAATGATAATACGTACATGTATTTTGAAGGAAAAAAAATGACTATTTATGATAAAACGTCTTTAGAAACAATAAATTAAAACGAAAATACCAAATTAAAAAAAGCTCTGATGCTTTACCAGACAATTACTGATCGAGTAAGAGAGCGATACAAAATGTCTAAAAGCAATCGAGAAAAGCGTCAGATTTCAAGTACCGTATGTGCATACCAGACTTTAAAACGTTACCGTATGGGTCTGTATGCTAAACGGTCTCTAGGAATTTCTGTCAAAAAGAAGGAACAGACTAGAAGATGTATAAAGGTGACTACCAGGACAAAGAATCTTGTATCTGAATTTCTCAATTGATGACAACACAAGAATGAAAGCTGGAAAGAAGGCTACTATAACCAGGAAGGGAATAAAGAAACAGATACGTTTACTAAATTTTGACTTGAAAACGCTTTATGTAAAGTTCCTTACTGAAACTTCATGCAAGATTTCCTACAGTTTATTTTGCCGTTTCAAGCCTTTCAACATTCTTCGACCAACTGCAAAGGATCGTGATACCTGTTTATGTAGTATATGCCAGAATATCAACTTCAAGTTAGAAAAGGGTTTTCAAGAGAGGGTACTTAACACAAAAGAAGTCGAGAAAGTTCTACAAACGGTTACCTAGCTGTGATATCGAAAAGAAGGAGTGCATGTATCGACAGTGTAGCGTTTGCAGCAGTAGAGAGGTAGCATTTGACCAGAATATTTACTTGGGAAAGCAAGTATCCTGGTTTACCTGGAAAACCAAGCAAGTGGACAAGGAGATCACAATGAATGGAAATGCAATTCACAAGAAAGTGACAGTCACATCAAAGGATCACGATTATGGCACACAGGAAGTTCTCCAGGGAGAAGTTAACAATGATATTAAATGTATAGCCAGGTACTTTTTTAATATCCGACATCAATATCGCACTCTGAGATATTTGAGAGAGGACCTAACAACTGAAGAAATGATAGTTCACATTGATTTCTCAGAGAATTATAACTGCAAGTACTCAAGTGAAATCCAAAGTATGCATTTTGGTTCTTCCCAAAAGCAAATATCCCTTCACACAGGAGTGGCATACACAAAGGACAAAGTTTGGTCATTTTGTACAGTGTCGGATTGTCTTAAGCATAACCCAGCAGGCATATGGGCACACATGCATCCTGTATTGGAATACTTGAGAAATGAAACGAATGTCACTGTTGTACATTTTATAAGTGATGGCCCTACAACGCAATACCGTAACAAGCAAAATTTCTTTTTGCTTGTCAACAGGATCTTCCAATACGGATTTCAGTCTGCTACTTGGAATTTCCTGGAGCCAGGCCACGGAAAGGGGGCGGCTGACGGTGTAGGAGCGGTCGTAAAACGAACGGCAGATGCCTACATAAATAAAGGTGGGGACATTACCAAAGCTGCTGATTTTCTCAGAGCACTTGAATCGTCCACATCAATTAAACTAATGGCTGTATCTGAAAAAGACATTAAGGACCTAGAAGAAGAAATTCCGTTGTCAATTAAACCTATTCCAAAAACTATGCAGATACATCAGGTATATTCTGTTGATTTTAATGAACTAAAGTTGAAAAAAAGAGATATTGTTATGTTTTTTTCAAATAATTTAAACATGTTGTTCTTAGAACATTAATGGATTGAATTTTTTATTAGTGGAATTTATTTTGGACTTTTTGTTTTCAGGATATAGTCCCTAACCAAGGAAGGCTATTATACAGACAACTCTCGTGCTTTTGTGCTAGGCCAAATTTCTGCCATTGCTTCCAGCCAGAATCAGCATCTTTTCCTCTACAGGTAATGTTTTCATACGTGTAATTTATGTCATACGAAATTAGAAATTGACGGTGAACAGCAGGATGTGATTTATTTTGTACGACACGCCTTATGATAAATATGCATAATTAAAAATTGAAACATAACATGCGTTCCTTTTAATTTATAGTCTTCTGTTGACGTCCGCAGTTCTTCGTCTCCTGAAGAAGAGCATGTGCCAATCTGTGAAACCAGTCGGAATTTCGGAGGTAGATGAAAGTCTTATATCAAAATACTGTGTTGTCAAATACGACGGCCGAGCATATCCAGGAGTCATACTGGCGGTTGATGAAGATGATGTGATAGAGGTCAAAACTATGCACAGAGTTGGGCATAATCGTTTTTTTTTTTTGGCCTATGCTGGAGGATACCCTGTGGTATGCCAAAGAAAATGTAATAACCTTGCTGAAGAATCCACCTAGACCAATTACCAAACGGCATGTTGAGGTTGACCCTGCTATCTGGGAACTTATACAAAAGGAAGAAGATGAAATTTAGATTGTTCTAATTAAATTGAATTATGTTGTTGTTAATGAAAGAGTTTTGATTTGAATTAAATACTGTTATATTTTTATTGGCACATATGTTTTAGGTCATACTTTGTAGTGTCTCAATGACAAAATTGTCAAGACCATAACAATTTGTCATGACCACAGCATTTTGTCCTGACCGCAACAAGCAATGTTTTACCCTCTATCTTTCACAGAAATTCCTTAAATACTTACGGTATAAAGTGAATTAATCGTGTAAATGGTAAAAATATAATTGTTACCAGTAACACTTTAAAATTTTCTACCCCTGAAAAAAAAGAGATTTAGTTCTTTGATGAGGCAAAGTATTGTATTTGGTTAAGGGTATAGGTTTATTATTTGCATACTTCATATGATTTAAAATATCTTTTTTCGATTAATCTGCAAAGTTAATCAACCGCATTTCATACTCCAAGAATAAACAGTATAAGTTGTGGTTGAAAGAGCTACGAGATCGATAATCTTTGTGTTATGGTCATGATATTCTCTTTCACATAGATCTGATATTTTTATAAATATTCACAAGACCATATATGTTGACTCGCGGCCGGTATTGAAAATAAAAAATATACACATATCTAGATACCATGGGACCTGAAAAAAGCAAAAGAAGTGTATCTTGATTTTTTTTAATTGGAATGACAATTTCTCTACTGTTTGTAGAATGACCCTTATGCAACTGTTACCGGAAAACAGTTGGAGAAGTTTGAAAAAATCAAACCGTTTTCAAACTAGCAGGTTATTGTGATATTTTATTCTGAATTTAAATAAATTTGATAACAGGGCCGCCGCCTTATACTATACATACTGTACCCAGTTCTTTCAAATTTAATTTAGTTTAAGTTTGTATTACTGTTGACCCCCTTATTACACATGTTGTCTCAAAGAACATAAGCTTATTGACTATATATTTAGGACAAATACATTTTTAAATTTCTCTTTAAAAAATGAGCAACTTTATGTAGGCTGTTAGGAAGGGGGGGGGGGGCGTACACACACTGCACTCATTGCACTTTAGTTTTTCACTGACTGTGATAATACATCTAAATTAACACGTACACACTCGGGATCGTTTTTTCTTTGATGTTAACAAAAGCATATCTACATATTGTACATACATGTCCATACATACCTGGGCTGAATGCACTGCGGTGATGGATCTAGGGAGCTAGTGCAGATCGCCTCAGTCTTCCATTATTCTCTGTAATAATGTCTTCATATTCTCGTAATAGGGATAAACAATGCCTTGTCTCTTATCTTTTCACTATTTTCTATAAAGAATGTCTGGTTATTGCATTTAAATCCACTGCATATCTCAGCTGATGTCGCCACGTTTTTAGATGTAAACAACATTCCGTGTCATCGAATGCAAGCGCTTGGCTGAAGCCGAATGCAGCCAAACGGCACATAAAAAAGAGAATTATTTTAAAAACATGCTATTCTATTTAGGAGAAAATCACTAATAATTATTTATTTAAACATGGAAATATTGCCGTTTGTTACAAATCATTGCAAATATCGGTAAATAGTTATTTTGAGCTCTATTTCCTTATAAGGATCAATCGGGGCGGAGCAACTGTCGTCATATGACGTCAAACCTCATTACCATATTTTTCCATGGGTTGCCTTAAGCGTACTGCGTTCTTTCTTGCAGTCAAGTAATTTTTGGCTCTACTCTGCTGCTGCTTATATGTACAAAAAAATCAAATTGTTTTTATAGGCTTATTAAAGTACCTTACACGAACTCATTTCCGTATGTAACTAATTGTTTCACATGACCTTTCAAACAATGAAGCCCAACTGATGTAAGTTAACAGAGTTAAACGATACATACCCAAAACAAATGTTCTTATCTTATTACAAAAGACTTACACTACATTTTTCGCAGTGTTTGATTTAAGGAATCACTGTCTAGTTTAATAGTAGAGTATGCCAGGGCATCAACAATGGGAAACATGGGATAATTTGCATAACGGGCGAAGCCCGTTATGCTAAAATTATCCCATGTTTCCCACTATTGTTGATGTCCCTGGCATTTCATTGTGAAATAAAATTGTAGATTTAGACTTTAAAAATGTAGACTATAGATTTAAATCACACGAGGACTTCCATGCCAATTTCAATAGTCAGTAGATTTAGACTTTAAAAATGTAGACTATAGATTTAAATCACACGAGGACTTCCATGCCAATTTCAATAGTCCTCCACACCGACGTCAAACCCAAAGGCAGCCGCACGAGATTTACATGCACATTTGGCCTCCTAAGCGTCAGACACAGAGACAGATGGGCACAAGATTTGCATGCGTATTAGGCCTCTTTAGCTGCTAACCTATCAACCTTTCTAATTTACATTCCGGCAGATTTATCAAGAAATAAACTCCCCCAACTTTCAAAGAGATATCACAGAGAAAAAAAAATAGAAATGGAAATATTTTTGTATAAAATCGGATATTGTCGTAAATGTAACCATGTATCTATAGATCCAAGTTTGAGAGATTACTATGTAACAATTCCATATATAAGTGTTAAAGAAACTAAGGTGTTTGAAGGAAAAAAGAAGCAACAAGGTATCAATGGAATCAATTTGAGGAAAATAATAATATTTGTACGTACAGTGTTCATGCAGACTGTAGTGAAATTGCATATATAAATATATCTACTATGACCTTTCACCCTGACTTAATAGCCATCCACCCGAGCCAGCACGTTTCCCATTTTAGTCGAATCCTTTCAAGTAAACTACAGTATTCACCACGTGTTTTACCAGCTGTTCACATACTTGTTGTTTGTACCTGTGTTTACCAAACATGTAGACCTGCGTGTTCGTCGTCACCTTATACCAGGGTTGGCGAAAATTTCATAGTAAACTCTCCTATTTGCGTGGATCCATATATTAACAGGGTTAAACCGGATGCAATTGGGCATACGTCAGGATACTCATGCGTGAGAATTCTAGAGAGTTCGCCCCAAAGACAACTTGTCCGTAAAATAATTCGCCCTATTAGAATTATAATATAACATTAATTTGCAATTCTCAAATCAACATTTCAAATTTGGAAACTAGTTTTTATCTATTATGTCATGGAAATATAAGCTAGACTGTTGGCGCCTTATGCCAATACTCTAGTAAAAACTTGGCATAATTAATTTCTTTTGAATAATATCTAGTATTTGTTGTACGACTATTTTTTCATATATTTGCTCCTTGGCCGTACCTTATGGATATATTGGTTATGCAAGAAGAGGTGGATGAGTTAGCCTAGCTCACGACATACGACCTGTGTAGCAGGAAGGCGCATGGTCTGCCTTGCAGACCATTGAGAGCAGTGCATTGCGTCGTTTGGTTTATCAATTATAAAGCATGTAAGGGGCATTTCAGGGAGATCCATCAACCACACATTCAGATATTTCACTGCAAGGTATTCGAGCAACAGGGAGAATCAAGTCTTTCGGCATGGAAGACAAAGACAAGGAGGAGACTTCAATCCTATGGGACAGAATGTCCGTAATCTGAAATATCAAGATCCGGGACAAGGAACTAAGCCCCTTGCCCCAATACTGGCAGTATTGGACGCCAGGAAGCACTTTAGAGATGAGCAAGCAAGGCAAAGCAAGCAGCAACAGGATTCTCCGTAGGAAGCAGTGAGACGAATGCAAGAGACCAAGCGGTAACACAAGAAGAGGATTGCAAGTCGCTTGTGAGAACCAAGGAGCCGCAAGACAAGTAAGAAAACATAAACATTATAGTTTTCATGTTTCCTTCTGTTAACCTTTGTTGCTTAATTGAATTTTTATTCCTTCCATGTTATATTTTATGTTATTTTATGTTTTATTTTATATTTTATATTTTGAATTATTTGTGAATAAATGACATAATCATTTAAATCCTAAGAAGGGGGAGTGTGGCAGGATTGAATTTTGTCATATACCGTATATCAGGTTTTTTTCCGCGTGTTCCCAATTTCCGCTTTGTTCGCAACGATTTCCGAATCGCGAAAAATCAATCAGCGTAAATTTCGATGAGGAGATATCCAAATTTCTTTTTCAAGTTCCACGTCGTGTCCTAGAGTATGGAATCCCCCCTTTGCTAATCATCAACTGAGATTAGACTGGTCTACATGTTGTCACAGTGTTGCAGTGGACCATGACTCAAGAGGGCTCAAAGAGGGTAAAATAGCCGGATCGGAGGACAAACACCAGATAACAGGTATGTCAGCCATTTTTTATTTAAAAATCAATTGACAATTAATTAAATTAGCCGCGTTCCTTGCATAAACTGAAGTCTAATTACACCTGATCTATAGTACCGATCAATGATTTTTTTGCATCTCGGTTACAGCTACATTCGCTGGAACTTTTGATGGATCATTCCTTCCCTTCCAACTACTATACATGGGGAAAACGACTCAATGCCACCCTAAATTCAAGTCTCCGGACGGATTTCATATTATAGAATCAAAAAATCACTGGGCAAACAGTCGGGAATCTTTGAAAGCATTAATTTGTTGTTAGTTTTAGATAAGGCATTTGGACAAAAATTGTCGTCGTCTGTTGCTCCAGGACTGTTAAATTTTATTATGCATTAAAACTAAAAGTAAGGTTTTACTCCAATAAGGTAAATTAGGGGTTTCTAAATTTACCTAGGCCTTTTCCCCGGCTAATTTGGCTAGTTTGGGGGGCGTGATTTTTTTTTATTACGATTTTTCAAGAGACAGGAATGTAAAGTTGTTATTTTTTAAAGTGTTTTCTTGGATCAGAGCTTGATTCAAATGTTCAGACATTCGTATATAATTAGCTCACCTGAGCCAAAGGCTCAAGTGAGCTTCTCTGATCAAAATTTGTCCGTTGTCTGTCGTTGTCGTCGTTGTTGTCGTCGTTGTCATTGTTGTAAACTTTTCACATTTTCATCTTCTTCTCGAGAACCACTGGGCCAATTTCAACCAAACTTGCTACAAAGTATCCTTGGGTAAAGGGCATTCTAGTTTGTTCAAATAAAGGGCCATGCCCTTTTCCAAGGGGAGATAATTATGAATTAGAGAAAAATTAATGGCATTTTTAAAAAATCTTCTCCTCAAGAACCACTTGGCCAGGTAAGATGAAACTCATGTGGAATCATCCTCGGGTAGTGTAGATTCAATTTGTTCAAATCATGACCCCCAGGGGTAGGATGGGGTCAAAATGGCCGATCAAAGTTTAACATAGGATTAAATAGGAAAAATCTTTAAAAATTTTCTTCTCAAGAACCAATGGGCCAGGAAAGATGATACTCATGTGAAATCATTGTCTTGTAGTGTAGATTCAAATCATGATCCCTAGGGGTAGGGTGGGGCCACAATGAGTGATCAAAGTTTTACATAGGACTATATAGGAAAGATCTTCCTCTAAGGAACAATTGAGACATGAAAGATGAAACTCCTGTGAAGTCATCCTCAGGTTGTGTAGATTCAAGTTTGTTCAAATCATGACCTCCAGGGGTAGGATGGAGCCTAATGGCCGATCAAAGTTTTACATAGGAATATATAGGGAAACCTTTTAAAATCTTCTTTTCAAGTAATTCAAAGCCATGCTTAGTGATATTTATAGTGAATCATCCTCAGGTAGTGTAGATTCTAGTTTGATCAAATCATGACCCCTGGGAGGTTAAAATTCAAGCCCCCCCTACTCAGTAAACTTTCAGTTCTGATCTCATATGTGCTTTTTCCTAGCCAATTGCTCAGGTGAGCGATGTGGCCTCTGGGCCTCTTGTTATTATAGTTATTAATACGACCATTGTAAAGGCATAGTGTTTGCTAAAATGGTAGTGACATCGAACTTACAAAATCATGGGCAGTGTCTGCTTAAACGCAAGGGGATGGTTAAACGTAAAGACACAACCTTAAAGAAAGTCATACCTGTTAAAAATTTAGAGAAAGAAAAGGAAACGTTTCTTCAAAACGTGAAATCAAAAATTGATTCAAACGATATCCCCCTCAATTAGTAATTAATTGAGACCAAACTGGATTACGTATTGTTCCCGCCTCGCAGTGGACCAGGGCTCTAAACGAGTTGAACTTTGTGGCATCAACGATAAAAGGCAAATTACAGGAACTCTAAACTAAATAAGCAGTCTATCATTAAACAAGTCAATCAATTAATTGGTATCTTAACTCTATCACTGTAATTATGTTTTGTTTTTTGACAACGGTACACACTGTGTATTAGACCGCTTGTTAATACCTGGTCTTTCTTTAGGCGACCATAATTTGATTTTTAGTTTTACGGATTTTTTTTCAAGAAAGGTCAAGTCGGAGGACGAAAAAAAAAAAAAAAAAGACAAAAAATCATGCTAGCAACGACCTTTTTCACATATAAAAAGTCACACATTTCACTGTAGTATAAAACAAACAAAAAACAACTTACAAGATATGTTTTTTTAATATTAATACACATTACATGTATAAATGTTGTTATTTATAAAAATTACAACTTTTAATTCAAACATTGTTTAATATGAGTACCATGTAATATTTGAAATTATAAAAATTTAATTATGTTCTTCACTGTATAGTTTGCACATTCATTTGAGTGTCATTTGAATAATATTCAGGGTAAATATCGAAGTTTAACTTGGCTATCAAACGAATTAATAATATTCTACAGACGGTCTGAGTTTCCAGCTTTTAACTGATGGATGAATGGATTTTTCTCACTATACGGAGCAAGAGAACTGTTTCCTGGATTTAACAAAGATCTGAAATTGAAGGAATTGGAAGTACCTGTTAGCCAAACTTAAAACTTTATACATTTTTAAAAAATAACATGCGTAATCTATTGAGAATGAATTAGATGGATTCTTAGATCCTGCATTCTTTTTTTTTTACTCTTAGTACATATGATATCAAAGCATTATTGTAGTCCTGTTCCAATCTGCTAATATCAATATATTTTGAAATTCAGAAACTTTATTTCCCTGTTTAGCTACATAAATTCAAAGAAGTCTTCTAGAGGTACTGTCAAGTTGCTCTGCAGTTTCAAGGGCTTTTATTATCTGGTGTTGATGTAGGATTTGCTAAGTCACTGAATCTCATAATCCGCGGTGTTCCCTCTGCAGACTCTTTATTAGTTACCATGTACTTGCTTTCATTTCCTCTTTAAATTAATTATAAAGTACTGTAGTTCATGTCTTTCCTGATCACCGTATTATTTATGGAGGAATTGTTTTGTTTTAGGCGCATATAAACTTGTTTGCAGCAGAGTATCAAGTAAATTCATATAGTTATTTACCGTCCTTTTATGCAAAATTTCCACATCTGGTATCTCTGTCTTTGATAAAAAACACTTTTTATGAGGATAATGAGCAATTACAACTGCAATTACATCTGGAAGCACAGTTGACATCTTGATTATTACCTGTTATCAGTGGCAATAAACAGATTAGCTACCGGTAAACACTGCATGACCGCCATTTTTGTTTTGACTTGTCGGTATTTTACAAATCGAAGAAGTAAAAAAAATCCGGATTTTTTTCGAAATCGGTAGAAACAGCAATTAAAAAAATGGAGAGAGACATGCAATGGGGAGGGTTCAGAATTGGTAGACTCTTGATAAAATCAAAGTTGACAGCTCACTTTCTTCTACCATTCTGCACATGTGTTTTTATTACGTTTCTGACTGATTTGCTTTTATAAAACACAGGTTTGACACGAGCGGATTGAAAAATTCCGATTTTATTTTTTTTTTGAAATGCAAATTTTTAGAGTCGGCGGATCCGTAAAACTAAAAATCAAATTATGGTCGCCTTATAGGGACATTTGCTGGATCAATGGCGGGAGATTTCCTTCCCATGCAATTGATATACAGAGGGAAAACTGACAAGTGTCACCCCGGAACAACATTCCCGGACATGTTTCATATAACACACTCTGTAAAATCATTGGGCCAACGATAGCACTATGTTTGAATACGTGAATAAAATCATCTGTCCTTGAATAACCAATGTCATAGAAGAATACGATCTGCCGCTTGGCCAGAAAAGCCAGTTAATTTTTTATTGCTTTAGATGACAAATTAAGAAATAATTTCGCAGTCTTTGAAAGTCAAAAAGGCTTTTGTATGCTATAATTCCCCCAAACTGCGCAGACAAACTGTAGCCTGTGGATTTGTCGGTAAATAAGGGCTCCAAGGATTTCTTGAAATCGGAGTTCCAGCAAGTCTACGCGTGTGAACGTTGTGAATCTATCGAAAAACGAAAAAAAAAAGTTGCGTGCACGTTGACTTATCTCTCACTAGAATGAAGGAATGGCTTTTGAAATTTTATAATCACTTAAAATCTAAACCAGAAGTAATAAAAAACGGCTTCATCGAGAGTGGTATTCTTGAAGACTTATCTTTGGACTTATAAGCTCAAGAGACGAAAACACAGGCGCTTTCTACAATAATTTATAACAGTGTACATGCATATTGTTGTGTAATATGTTAATATAGATGCATGCGTATTTCGTTATTTATTTATAAATTTATAATTAAAACGTTTTTTTTTTAAGATTTGACATTATATCTGGCAGGCATAGAAAGAGAGATAACTTTCCAATCAAGACTGTGTTGTTATAGAGACGTAATTTCCCATTCTAAAAAAAAAACGTAACCTTTTTTTTGTTTGAAATCGCAAAAAATTACTAACGCAAATTAAAAAAAAAATGTACAAATCTGAATTTTTTCGCAAAATTTGATACACGCGAAAAAAAACACCGAATATACGGTATTTGTCTGCTCAAAGTAATTGTCTTTCTATTGATGTTAAACAAAATGGAGGCTTAACGTCCAGAAATTTCACTACCGAAGAATGAAGTCATTGTAGAACTTTATTCCAATGGAGAAAAGTTGTCAAACACTGCATGAAGCATCAACCGATCTTTAGCTTCAGTTTACCGAGTTGTTGGTAAGTTTCAAACAACCAAATCGCTCAAAAACCACCCGAAATCACCCAGTTCCCGTTCCATAGGCGATCGGGAATTTCGGATGCTGCAGAAGATCATCAACAAGGATCGCCTAGCTACCCTTGCAGAAATTACCACATGATTCAATGAAAATAGACCAAAGTCCGTGTCAAAAAAGACTATCAAACGACGATGGAAAGAAAAGGGATTCTAGAGAAGTGTATACCGGGAAAAAAGTTTCATCAAACTGTCGACAGAAGGAAGCGGTTGTCGTGATCTAGAGAGAAAAGATTGTGGACTGTAAAAACCAGTGGTCAAAGTGCATTTTAGCGACGATTCTTTAATGTGTGTTGATGAAAATAACCGTGTGTATATGTGGAAAAGTGATGGAGAGGGTTGGAGATCAAACTTAGCGACGAGACAAAATGGCCGCAAGTTCAGCATTTAAATGGTTTGGAGGTGCATGTTTCAATGGTGTTGGGGCATTGTGTCGAGTTAAAAGGACATAAATTCAGAGAAGTACATTGATATCTTGGACACGAACCTTTGGCCTGTTATTGCTCTCCATTTCCCAGAAAAGAGTTCCTTTTTCCAAGATGACAACACTAATATTAAGAACGAATCACGAACGAACATGAGCTGACTAGCACAGTCTTCTGACTTAAATATTATAGAAAATATTTGGTTATTTATAAAAAGAAAACTTCTGTCACGAATACATATGATCAATTCCCCAGACGAACTTTTTCAACACACACTGCAAATATTTTTTTTTCAAGACCTTTGTCCCGCTACTGAAACAATGGTAAATTCCATTCCTATGTCGGTACGATATCCTAGTGAGTTTCAGGTAAACCACAGATTCTGACACATCTTTTTCAGTTTTACTTGAAAAAGAAACCCATGATAATCTAACAATCAAACTCTATGATAAAGGTGATAACTTGAACTTTTCTATCGTCAACTTCCCTTATTTATGCAGCAATACTGCATATTATTACTTGTGCGGCAATATACCTTCATCACCTGCACACGTAGTTTATCAGTTGAATCGATACGCAAGAGCATGCTCTATGTATGAAACATTTCTTAACAGAGGAAAATTATTGACAAACTAGTTTATTAAACAAGAAAATCAGCAGTCTCGTTTAAAGTCGATACAATGACCTTGTCTGCAAATACAATTTTTCACTGAGTTTAATGCTGACTGACGTTTTTCATACCAATTGTTAGTTCCTTGATATATACGACGTATGTTTTCGTTATTTCCCGATTATGACAAGGAGCACACGGCGGGTGTCACCGGTCGGCAGTGGATACTCACTCCTCTATGGCACCTGATCCCACCTCTGATGCTATGGAGGTTCGTTTTTTGTATTTTTATGGACTTTGATATCGAAAACTTGTCATTACGTGAATCTCCATATCTTCATTAACTAAGTTTTCCAATTTCTTGTTTATTTCTCTCGGTCATTTTGATCATATTTTTTAAGTACATCAGAATTCTGCAATGCATAGAAAATATACATCTCTTCAACAACATCCGCTATCACATATTACATGTTCGTTAACTTTTTTAATCTTTTAGGGCATCCTCCTTTCTTTCAGTCGCCCGCGTGGCGCAATGAGAAGAGCTTCTGTTCTACAGTTGCGAAATCACGTGCGGGTTCGATTCTAACAGTGAGACGTGGAGATTAGTTCTTCGGATGAGGCCGTTAAAAAGAGGTCCCGTGTTGCAGTAGGTGCTGGCACGTAAAAGATCTTCACTTTTCAACGGTCCTCACCGAATACATGACATAAGTAAGCAGATCATTGTAAAAAATGTGAACAAACCTAAATGAATACTCACTACACCTAGAAATGTTCTTAAATTGAATGTCGGTTAGAAACGCATGCATATGGTCCACTTATTGCAGTCCTTTTTAAAGAACAGCAACTTGTTTGTATATTATTAAACGTCCCTCTCCAGCATTTTTCACTCATATGGAGAAGCCTCCACTTACCGGTTGAGAGCTCTAAATTTTGTCCTATTCTGGGCACTCAGAGCCATTGAGCTGGGGGAGCTTTTATTCGTGCACAGCACCTACTGCGACGCGGGACCTTGTTTTATACGGTCTCATCTGGAGGACCAGTCTTCACGTCCAACAGTGGGGTATGAACCCGCAACGTAAGTTTCAACCCCTTATTTTGTAACTGGAGAGCACACACTCTAACCTCTGCGCCAGGCGGGCGACTCATGGGTTTTGATATACCTTATAATCCAACATGTTAAAGCAGGTTGAACCATGTACTCATCAATTTAGTATATAATTTTGGTACATGTTTATGTGGTGTTTATAAGTTTGTCTGACATGTTTTAGTGTTTATACAGCGAGTAAAATCTTCCATGCTTTTAATTTACACCTTGTTTTGGGACCCTTTCAAAATATATATCAAATGATTTATACACAATCCTTGTGCTAATGTTTGCAAAAGAAGTTCTATTCATGACCTTGACCTTTGATTACAACCAATTAGTGACTTACGGCTTGCATGGGGATTCTTGAAAGATCGTTCAAATTCTCGCACATTGTCTATAGGCAAAAACGTGGAGAGCTTCATGACAGAGTGCTATAACATCGTTACTAGAAATCATTTGCTAAAAGAATTTGTTGGTCTCTCTTTGTCAGGTCTTATGCGGATTTCATTTTTAGCCGGGCTTATTGCTCAAAGAGCCACTGGGTGAAAAAAGTGGTTTCCCATCATGGGAAACTTTATGGAAACCACATGGAAACCTCAAGTTTACATCATGTTTCCCAGTGGTTTCCGTAGCGGATGCTAGGTTATTCCGCCAAGTTTCCGTGACACGGAAACCCCCTACGCTCCGATTCCATAAGGTATCCCGAACCACGGAAACCTCTGTAAACCTGAAGTTTCCCGAACATCCATGTAGTTTCCCGTAATGGGAAACCTGAAGATTCCACTGGTTTCCAGAATCAGGAAACTTGATGGAATCGGAGCGTAGGGGGTTTCCGTGAAATGGAAACTTGATGGAATCTTTAGGTTTCCTTTTACGGGAAACTATATGGAAGCTCGGGAAACCTCACGATTCCTAAAGTTTCCTTGACTCAGGAAACTATATGGAATCGGAGCGTAGTGGTTTCCGTGGAATGGAAACTTGATGGAATCTTTAGGTTTCCTTATACGGGAAACTACATGGAAGCTCGGGAAACCTCATGATTCCTAAAGTTTCCTCGACTCAGGAAACCATATGGAATATGAGCGTAGTGGTTTCCGTTGAATGGAAACTTGATGGAATCTTAAGGTTTTCTTTTATGGGAAACTACATGGAAGCTCGTGAAACCTTATGATTCCTGAAGTTTCCTTGACTCAGGAAACTATATGGAACTTGTGTAGCACTTTCTGTGTGGCAGAAACTTGGTGGAATTATCTGGAGTCCCATTCCTGGTGGAAATTACAGGGAAACTTCAAGATTCCCTAACTTTTCTAAAGGAAGCAATGTGAAATAATGCGTTTTCTTTTTAAAATCTATCAAAAAAATTTATTACATGTAAAAGAAAAAAGCATTACCATTTTATATGTTTAATAATTCATTTGATGTACAAAAACTGTAACTGAATTTTTCAATGATATCAAAATATTAAATAAATTCATATATCTTAGATAAACAATGGAACAGTCTTTCACATTTAAGTCCATTCATAAGAGTCATTAAGTACTTCTTTCAACATCAGTTTCCTGGTTTTCTTCACATCACCTATGATCTGCAATATTCATACAAAATTATTATATGATGTCAGAATTATAATGCTTGAATATAACTTAGAAATCTGAAAGATCAGTCAATGTCCTTTAATATACCAATATCAATAATTACTTTCCATGACCATGATACATATGATTTCAGCATTTAATGCATCTCTTTAATATTTAATGCTTTATGATAAGTGAAAAAAAAATAACATAATATAAATAATGTTTTCAGCCTTATTATGTCATTGAGAATATATTACTACATGTATCTCATACTAACAACCCTGCTTTAAGTTTGATTAGTTTGAGAGAAAACATACTCTATACAATAACAAAAATATTAGGGAGAGGTTTTTTTTTTAATTTTGATATTCGACCTAGAAATTGGTTGAAGATCATTGCAGACCCTCCACCCCATTGCACAAAAGCTAGATTACACCAGGGGAGAAATATACTCTGGACTACGATTTTAAATAAAGATATACAGTAGATTTTGATACTGACCTTTGACCTAGAAAATTAGTTCAAGGTCACTCTTCATCCTCTATCCACAGGTTCTCTGTAGTTTAAGTTTGAGAGAGAAATATGCACAGAACAAGTGATATCAGATGGAGTGATGGGTAGACACTGTCTTAGGGCATCCACAGAACAGGACCTAAAAATAATGCAATATATATATGTATTACAGTATATATACACATGTACTTGTATGTTAATGATTTATCATATGCTGCATTGGACACATATGATTTTATCATGGTTTAAGTATACATGTATCTTATGAGTAATTTTATACTGGTATTGCATGTACGCTCAGTTTATTTAAGAAATAAATAACAAGTTTATAAACTTCAATGGGAGAGATACCACAAATGTATATATAAACAAGTAATTTAATTTTTTTTTTTTTTACATATATTGACCAACATTATTTACATCCATTCATCATGTTCATGAATTGGCTGATCAAAATTCAGTCAGTTTTAGATCTATATGATATACCATAAAGGACTTTCACATTTACAAATGTTATTCCCCTTCGCAGGGTCGATTTGGGGTCAACCGGCTTAAGACGCTGTTTTCCCTCTTTAACCATATCAACTTTCAGGGACAATATCTTAGAAATAAAATCTGTATGAACATATTCATTATGATTTTCATGTTGCCCCCATACTCTGGCAATACAGATACAGATAGTAATTGTCCAATATTTTTGAAGATTGAAAATATCAACAAGTAACTTAAAAAGGACAAAGTGGGAAAAATGAGCAATACGCCGACAATTGGAGAAAACTCTTAGGAATGTGAAATTTGTCTATTGGTGATGACAATTCCTGTTTTAATGTCACTGAAAAATTAAGAGACATTAGAAATTTAGGCCCTATTGTCATACACACGTGCTGTTTTTTCATCCATATAACCTTTTAGTATCATAAAATTTACCAAAATTTAATACTTCAAATAATTTCATTGAATATCTATAAAATAAAGGAAACTCTAAAAACTTAGTGACTTGCAGAAATTATTCCTTGGAGAGAAAAAAATCTATCATATTTCATATAAATATATGCATAATGAGCCTTTTTTTATTCATTTAGAACATATGGTATGTGCCTCATTTCCCCAAGAAATTTTCAAAGACAATGGACTATCTGTAAGCAGAAATCATTGCTGTTTACTTACATTGGAAAAATTTATGAAAATAATTAATTTCCTATTTTTTTTTATTTTAAATAATGCTAAAAATAATTTAATTTATTAAAAATAATCTGACTGTAAAATAACATTTTTCATAATCTTAATCTATGGGCAGATCACTCTAACTTCATAAAACTACCTGATATTAAAGTAGAACTCTTTAGTGTGCAGTTTTTAGAGCTTCCTTTAAGTAATCAAAATACTGACCAGCAAGAAATCAGTTAACAAGCATTTCCTTTTTTTCATTCAAATTTTTGGAGAGATCTCAGAGTTTTTTCCTGTTCAATTCAGGTTCGAGACGACAAAGTTTTATTGAAGTGTATTTATTAGAGAACTGATTGTATGTCAATCATAGCAATACACACATAACATGGAGGGGGCAATTTGTTTCAGCCCTAGCTTTTACATAAAACTTCTTGTAGCTCACAGCTGAAATACCACAGTTCAGTATCTAAATAAAATTTAGAATCTTTTTTTTTTCAGGCAATTGTCATACATACGAATCATGAATGAATTACCACTTACCAAATGACCACACCCTGAATCATCATACATTTTCTATGATTTTATCTCACTGGTTTTCTTTTAAAGTCACACAGTTTTCTTCTCTCTGAAATGATAAATTATGTCCAGGTACTATTGCATTCTAATTTAAACTAATTATGTAATAGCATTAGCAACAACCGGGATGGAAGAAAAAAATAACCAGAAGTCTCTGTCGAGACTGTAGCTCTACTGGTTTGTACTTATCAAAAACTGATGCACAGAATTATGTATCTTAGTATAGTCTACTTGTGTGCCAAGTTATATTGAAATCAGACTAAAATTTAAGGAGGAGTAGTGTTTGCAAACAGACGGACAGACAGACAGACGCCGGACGCATTACTAACGCATAAGCTCTTCTGGTCTCTGACCAGTAGAGCTAAAAACAAGATGCGCTTGTGAAACACAGCAACAACGTTCGAAAAAGCAATTTTTTTTAGCATACAGGTCACAGTCAAGATCACATAATCATTGTCCTAAAGACCTTGTTGCCATTTGAAAGCACTTTATTAGTGGAGTATATGCATAGTAAATATGAAGCAACTATCTCGTATAGTTCTAAAGTTATGGTGAAGGTTTAAGTTGACAACAGACACTCAGACAGACACACAGATATACAGTTATGGCAAAAGTTTGAACATTATAACTTGGTATACACACAGCCACTTCGAGGTATCAAGAGTAAAATTCACAGCACAGCGGGACTGCATTTTGACTTCGAGGGATCAAGGGTTTCGAGAGTTCTTTTACGGTAAATACATGCAGAAATCCCATTGAATTATTGAATTAGGCTTAACTATGATTACTCATTTAATTGAAGAGTAAAGGATTACATGAGTTAACTATGTTAACTGTTATCAAATTTATATTATAACAATGTATCTGAACATTTAATATGAAAAAAAAATCACTTCTTTGGAAGAGAAGTCTAATGACCAGAAAAGGGGTTAATATACAATACATGTACATTATCAAAAAGCTAAAAAAAAACTTGTTTGTTCAAATTAATTTAATCTTTATTAATGATAACTTATTTATTTATGATTCAAATGAGGGGAAAAACAAAATAATTAAGCAGAAGAAATACAAAAGAAAAGGAATTCAGTAAGAAATTTAAATGGAATAGAGTGATACAACAGTTAATAATATTCTGCAATTTCATTTCTTTCTTTTTTTTTTTCGTTGGCTATTAAAAATTTCTTTGGGCTAGTAATACTGTCAAATCCGCTAGCCCTACTGGCTAGTGTCTCAGAAAAGTTTTCGTGAAGACTGGATCAGGAGTTCGAGAAATCAAGAGCAAATCTGCTTAGTTATATAGTGGAAAAAATCGGGACCGGAGACTCACTTCAAGCGATCAAGAACTTCGAAGTTCAAGCCATCAAGAGTTACCTGTATATACAGATATAAGAAGCATGTTATTATTTGCAATTTTGACCTAATAACAGCTAAATCTGTTCAGTAAGACAATACCGTGTACATGTATGTAAGTAGTTTTATTGTGCATGATTATTTACTTATTTTCTTGATCTTCTCAACTTGAAGTGTTCTGTATTTTATTACCAAGTTTGTAATAAAAATAATGAAACATACCCTTTTCCACATCACATCCTGTATCAGACCTTCGACCAATATCAGCCCTAGGGCCTCTGTCCCTCTGACTGATATTGGTGTCTCGGGCTAGGATGTGATATGGAAAAGAGTATGTATTATTCGCTATACATTGACCTACTCAGGTCAATAATTCATGTGAAAAAACTGAAAATTCAAGCTGATGATTCATTTGCATTTCTTGACATACTATCAATATTAATTCACTATTAGGCTTTTCTTTTTTTACATCTTCATCTCAACAGGTTAGACATTACAAAAAAAAATCTTTTGAGCAGTAAACTATTTCAATAAACAATAAAACAAACCTAATCTCTTCAGAAAAGTGGACAGGCTTTCACCTACATTCACTTTTTTATGTATATTTTCCCTCCATTCATCGTCATGCATGTGCATATGATTAAGGGTTATGCTATTCGCTACAATCTATTCCAACTGTCCTGATGAGGATATCCTTCATGAATAATCGAATAAGCTGAGATTGAAGACACTTTTTTGTAAAAATATCGATGCTTTTATCAAAGTTTTGAACCAAAAATATTAAATTTATACCTTGCCATAAGTCGTAAGTTCCAAAAAACAAGAATTGGCTATCCGAAAACTGAAAAGTCAGAAAACACATGTATTCAAACCGGATGTTCTAAGTCTGAATTTAACTAAGAAACCATGCTCGGTGTAACTATTATCATCCGGATAATTTGAGCGGGGTGAATTTTTTTTTTTAATTCCGAAAAGTATTCATTTATATAGAGAGAGAGAACATACATTTTAATAAACATGATAAAAGGCTTTGCCATTTTACAACATACAGCATGCACATGCACGGTGCCTTTGGGGCCTCCATAATTTAAGTTATGCTATATCACTGTCTCAAATTTCTCTCTCTCTCTCTCTTTCTCTCTGCAATATATACACTTAACAATTTAAAACTTAAGTATCCAACTTTTCAAAATGGCGACAGAACAAAAGTTGCCTCCGATAGTAAAGATTTGTTGTTGCCAAATATTACAACTATTTACCGTAAAAAGTTAACAAAAATATACGTACACTAATACTTCATCGTTGGCCATTGCATTTACCACAGTCTTAAAGACACTGGGTGGTGAAACCATCTTAACTTTTCACATTTACCAGCTGCTTACACCTTCTTCTTCGTCCTTCTCGATCCTCCAAAAATGGCGCCTCGGGAAATTGACCAATGAAATAAAGCGCCTACAGAGCGATGCAGGATGGGAAATATAAACTGTTTACATTCACTATGATTAAGTGTGATTATGAGATCTTATATTAGAATTTAATTAAGTTTTCCCCTTTTCATGGAATAAAAAGAGGGGCTCCTAAAATATTTTTTGCCGATATGATGTGTAGGCCTAGTATATTTAGAAAAAAAGCGTTAAATACATGAGGCAAGAGCAGAAAAAAAAATGTTTCTTGCTTGACACCTCAACTTATTTGCCTTCGGGATATGGGTTTCGGGGCTTGGTTGTTGGTAGTGGCCGTCCTTGCTGAAAGTAACCCCCCCCCCCCTCTCCCCGCTTCTTTTAACTGTTACATGTATGATGATTATGAATTTATAATGTCACACCAAAAGATGTTAAATTTTTAAATGCACATTTTTTTTATTGTGAACTTTCCACGGGAATCCTAAAAGGCATGAAAATGAGCTACAATTATAATATGATTATCAAGAACAGTTTTTTTTATTTCAATAGTGATGATTGAAAATTCGGTGTTTAATAATTCATTGCTAATAAATTGTTGTGTTTTTTTTGGGGGGGGGGATTAAATTACTAATTGAACTCCCTCCTTTTCGGGGTTTAATTAGATTTTGAGCCTGCTATCAATATTACTGGTGGACCTGCTATACTTTTCTCTAATTGCTATATGTACATTGTACTTTAAACTCCTTGGCCTTTAGCTAAAAAAAAATTTCCCACATCATTTTAACACGTAAAATTGTTGAATGAATCAGAATGTTGAAAACCTTTTTCTTAGGAGAGTTATATCTCTAGGTGGAACAAAACTAACATCTAATCAAAGGCAGGAAAATATAACAGTATTTTAATTCAGTATTTTAGTCGTGATTGGTATTAGTGAAGTCATGGGAAAGATTATGTCGAAAGTCATCTATACTCGTTGATGTGCAGGGCTGTACTTATGCATACAGCTTTAGCTGGTCCCGCCTTGTATTTCTTTTAATGTTTTTTTTTTTCGTTAAGAAATCTGGTAAGGTATGCTAGTAAAAATAAAATCCCGGTTAGTTTATTACTCTTACGGAAATTACTTTCCTATACAGACCTGAAGATCGAGTCTATTATTCACGCAAGTTTTTTTTTTTTAAAAGAGTAGCATGTCGGCGAATAAAAATAAAGTAGTGTACAATATAGATAAAGAAATGTTTGTTGAAGTATTGACAAACTTCATATCTTTATAGAATGAAATCAACAAAAACTGCATAAAAATACAATCGTGACAATTATACAATGAATTAATTATACAATTAATTCTTTTAATAGATTGCCTTAGCATGCACTACTTTAAAAGCCATTGTTCTTAAGGAAAACAAAATCATGCAATATATTATAGACTTTTCTTTATCTAGAGCAATGGCCTTTGGAGAAAAAAAAATGGCTGAAAATTTTAAAGTTTGTTAAATATAATGCAAGTGCATTTAGGACCCTACATTGTAATTTCATGCGAAAAGTGCAGGCATTTACTACACGGGGATCTGCGTACATATTCAAACAAAAAAGGAAAAAAAAAACGTTTTATGTGATGAATTAAATTATAAACATTTATCTTATAAATGTCTTTGTAGTACGTTAGATTACAAATTTCACACAAAAACCCATCAACAATATTAAATACAGTTTTGATTTCACATTGATCTATTAACGTCATTCTGATTTAATATAATTATACACGACTAGAATTAAGATTTATTCAATACCTATAGAAAATTATTTAATTTCTAAAGAGGATAGTTTTATTTTAAATCAGTAATGAAAATTGAAATAAAAATTCTAAATACATGTAGTTTGTTCTTTCATTGAACTTCTTAAATGTAGGTTATTTTATAAATATGTTCTCTTGTATAACTTTAATTATGGAATATACAATTTTTTAAATGATAAAAGAAACACGAATCATCATCCTAATTTAATTTTCGGTTGGAGACTGTGTGTGTACATGCTCGACAACAGCCCATTGTTCCCTTTAGGTACAAAACCGTCTCAATTCACATAGAATATACAAAAAATACACAGTGACAGGTGTCTTCGCGGCACGTGTCTCCACCTGAAATGGCACGTGAGGACAGGTGTCCCTAATGAAACCCTCCCTAATTACACAGGTCGACCATAGTGACTTTTTCAAAAGCGTTTTTTTTGGGGGGGGGGGGGCTTCTCAAGGAAAAAATGAAAAGCAACCCACCCATCTCCAATAATAAAAATAATTATTTAATAAATAAATAAAAAAAAAACAATATTCACTATTAATAGTAAAATACTAGTATGATAATACTCAGCCCCCAGCCAATTCGATGAATGATTCTTATCTGACCAGTTTATATTAATATATTAATTCATAATATTAAAACAAAATCTTTATCACTTTCTAAACTTGTATTTAAAAACTTGAAACACTAAAAATGTAATTTTTGACAAACCAACTGAAGTATTTTTTTCCTGA